GGAAGGAAGGAAGGAAGGAAGGAAGGAAGGAAGGAAGGAAGGAAGGAGGGAGGGAGGGAGGGAGGGAGGGAGGGAGGGAGGAAGATTAATTGGGGGGGTATTTACCTTCCAACTCCATCAGCCATTGGCTGAGAACTGCTCCTATGAGGTGTTAACTCCCTGACACTTCTAGCCTTTCTTGAATATGTTCATGGTGGGCTCTGGTGGTGAGAGAAAGCCCTCAGGCAAAGACATGAGGGTGTTAACACTAGAAAATTAAGCCAGTATCCACTGAAACAGTAAGAACCAAGGGAATAAGGATGGGGCACTGACAGCATCTGCTACAGTAGGCATTCCTCCACGTGGTTGGGGTGGAGATGAACTTGCCCTCTAGGGCCATGTCCCACACCTTGTCACTGAGAAAGTCCACATTCCTCTGGTCATGGTTATAGTTCCAGGAGGATTAGAGGGTAGTTGTTCATGACCCAGACTAAGCCAAACAACCAGTCTCAGTCCTAAGAATTCTGAGAATTCTTCTGGAAATGTTTGGCAAGAGATTGCTGAACTGAGACAGTGTAAACCTAGAGTTGCCAGGGACCACCACATGGAGAAAGCCTGCTGGGAAATGAAATCAATGCAGATGAGCCAGAGCTGAGAGATGGTAAGAGACTGAGCCCTGATGGCATCTGAGCACCTGGATCCAGCCATGTGTCATACTCATGCCCTTGGGCTTTTTAATTAGATGAAATGATAAATTCCATTTTATCTTAAGTAAATTTGAAGTAGATTTCCATCACTCGAAACTAAAACAGTCCTGACTAATTCATGGGTCAACCAAGATTCTCCAAAATATGATCCCAATTCAAGTTTTGGTTGTTTCATCTACAATTCTTCTATTCAAACCCTGCACTACTTCTAGACTTAGAATTGACTGTCCACCACCATGGAGCTCATTTATAGTCATACCCTCCATCGCTCCAGACCTCGCTCACCTCATTTCTACCCCCTAGGACTGCTTTTTCCTCTTCACTGTCTGTCTAAATTCCACCCATTGTTCGAGACCTACCTCTGGTCCTGCCTCCTCCAAAAAGCCATTCTGACTACGCCAAACCACAGCTCTCCTCTGAGCAACGTGATCAGTTGTCCATGCCATTCATTTGGTGCTCATGATATAGGACTTGGTATGTTTATAACAATGGCACTAGTGTGTTTTCATGGCTCCCCATCAAGACCAGGGGTCATATGGGTAACTGTGTCTTTCATGATGCCCAGAATTGACTAGTACTTAGTATGCAAAACAATACCCTGGTTGACTCAAATCTTTTTGAAAGAATCTTAAAAATAAATAAATGGTAATAACAGTTTTGCTTGGTTGAGTGAAGAACCTAGAACACAAGCATTTCTTACTTCTCCATTTTGCCTAAGACGAACTGAGCTTAATGCTATTGAGGGAAGTCCACCAGGGACTCTCACTTCACCCACACAGTGGGGCACCTTCCATAGACCACCTTTTCCTGAGCATCTCAGGTCATAGTTCACAGACGTCTTGTAGTAGATATCTGTCATTCTTGACTTCCAAAAGCCTTTGCGTAATCTCTCCACATTTTAAGAATATTCACATTGAATTTGTGTCTCCCTGCATATGTGTGTGGGTAGACATTTCTCAGCTTTGCTTGCTGCTAGGTAGAGACATGTGGCTTAGGTTTTGCCATTTAGATGCACCCACGAGACTTTGCTTTGGAAGTGAGCTACATGAGGAAACAGAAGGGGTGCAGGCCCAGATGGCAGCAGGTGCAGCAGGTGTCTGGGGCTGGAGGTGGCAGTGGCAGCTCTTTGCCTGCAGCAGAGACAAGCAGGGTTGGTTCATGGTCGGCAGTGGTAACAACTCCTTATAAACCCAATCCTGCAGCGTGTCTCTGGAAACTGTTCGTGCAAGTTCTGTTCCTTCAGCCCTTCCGACAATTCTGTGATCTTCCCAATAACCCCAAATAAACCCCTTCTTAAACTTGCTAGAGTGAGCTCTATTGACTGCAAATGTACACTCTAACCAATGCAACCCTGATGTCCACCATTTGGCCAGATAGCTTCCCCATGTCCTAGACATAAACTGAAATTGTGCAATCTTACCTGTGTGATGACCAGCTTCAATTCTTCCATAGGTCAAAAGCCCCGGAGCCTTTGGGTTTATTTGCTATTGTACTCCTGGAGAAAAGAGAAGAGGTTGAGCAGCAAGACCAGATGGCCATGGAAAATTCCTGGTATTCTGGAAGTTTTTCCTAGTCTGATTAGGGATTCTGGCTGGGCATGGTGGCTCACACCTGCTATCCCAACACTTTGGGAGGCTGATGTGGGAGGATTGCTTGAGCCCAAGAGTTTCAAGAACAGCCTGAGCAACATAGTGAGACCTTATCTCTAAAAAAAAATTTAAAAATTAGCTAAGTGTAGTGACCTCACCCTTGCACCTGTAGCCCTAGCTACTCAGGAGGCTGAGGCAGGAGGATGACCTGAGCCCAGAAGGCAGAGGTTGCACCATTGCAGGGTGCCGAGATGGCACCACTGCACTCCAGCCTGGGTGACAGAGGGAACCCCTGTCTTAAACTGAATTAAACTTACTGTAATTCAATTTAAAAGGGATTCTCCCATTCATCCCAAAGGTGACTTTTAGTTGACTGGAAGGTTTTAGGAAATAAACGTGGAATTATTTTATGTCTCCTAAAGACTTTCAAGCACCAGACATTAAAGATTTTAAAAATACCCAATTCTCTCTCCCAGCAATGAGGCTGCCTGTGACTCTACATGCCAAGTTCCTCTCCTTCAGGTTCCTCTTGTTGGCTTCTGACTCAGCTAATTTTCCCCTTCTTTAGGTCTCTTAAAGACTTTTCTCAGCTCCCCAACCCCTGCTCCTGCATAAATGCCTAAATCATATTTTCCCTTGCAGTGCTCAGTCACTTCCCAATAAAACTTGGCCATGAGTCTCTGAGGTCTGGGGGTCTGGAGCTGGGGCTGGGGCTGAGGTTCAGACTTCATAAATATCTTCCTCTTTTGCCTGACCCTGAAATCTAAGGAAAACCTTTCCTCACTGTTTCTCACTCTCTATTCTAGCTGGCTCCAGTCTATGGCAAGGGATTCCCCAATCAGCAAATTGGGCTGCTTGTCCAAACTTTATGACCTCCTTTAAGGATGCCAGTGAAGATAAAGATAATGGGATCGTGGAGATTCCCTGACCTCCTAGTGTGGACACCTGTGAATGCTGGGTTCATTTCTATGTGGTCACCAAAGATATTTCACAGAAATCCTCCCCAATCACCCTGCTTGTCATTCATTCATCAAATGTTTATTCCCTGCAGAAATTGCTCTGGACTGAAACCCTATAGGAGGGTAGGTTTGGATGGCTTGCCCAGGGCTTCTCATAGACGGGCTTTCATAGACAAGTCCTTGCCAATAGCTTAAGGGGAAATGAGGTCCCAGGAGGCCCCTGGCTGTCTGATCATGTGACCTTCCTGGCTCCGTTACAAGGACGTCCTGTTCCTCTTGGAGTGATGGCTTTATTGAGGAAGTGACTGTGTCATATCTGGGGCAGGAGAAAAGCTATTTCAAGTCCTGAAGTAATCACACAGTTAGTTGGTGTGGCATCTTCAAGAACTGTCTGGACAGTGGAGAAAGACCATTCCCGAGGGAAGGTAAATGGAAGCCTGTGTCACTAGGGCAAAGGAGGACCCACTAAAAGAAGGAGAAGGGCAGGGGTTGTTATGTCAGTCCTCCACTGTGATACATTTCTGGCCAGCCATGAAGAAATGGCAGCAGGGAAACAATACCCATGACCCCCAAACCAATACGCAGAGATCTCTCCACACTTCCAGGTAGGCAGGGATGAAGGAGAACATCCTCACATTCATGGCCTCCTTGGGTTTTAAAAGTGCATTGAGCAGCAGAATGGTACCTAATGACCCATGAAGGTCTCTCCCTGGCTAGCTTGCTTTCCATGTGCAACAAGAGATTTAGGAGGCTCGTTTGTATATTCCTATCAAGAATTCTGGGAATCAGACCCAAAACTTGTTATTTCCTCATCACTTGGGTAGACTGGGGAAAACAATGGTTACATTCAGAAAGCTCATGGACCGTGCATACTGATCAGTCAATGGTTTGACTACCAGTGTTAAGGAAACAAGAGAAAGGGAGAAGACTTTTATTTTGAAAATATCACCTATGTCTTCAGGGCCAAGCCATTTACCTGGGCCTGCCTAGAATACTGTAGGTGTTCAACATGTACTAGTTGGGTCAATGGGTTCATGTTTATGTCTAGACTGTTTGCATCCTTCTACATTCTCAATTTCCTCAAGAACAGAAGCCATGTATCTGCTTGAGTCCCAGAGCAGTAGAAGGAATCCTGGGCCTGGATGTGCTTCTCATCCATCAGTCGAACATGTTCATCTTTATTTGCCTGATAAATTTCAAAAAAGAGACAATCAAAAGCAGAAGGGTGACAAGTCTTACTACGAGTCTATAAGGATCTGTTTACCTCTAGGAAACCCTGGCTTCATCCAAGCAATCTCTCTCCATCATTATGCAAAATCAAGAAAATAATAACATTGCTCCCAGAAATTCCAGGGCAACACTGTTTCAAGCATCTAGTATAGAGATGGCAGATATTTGGCATGCTTGCAACTACCTGATATTCTGTGTTCCTGACAGACATCACGAATCAATCATTCTAATCATCACTATACCACTGACCCTCTGAGTTTTTATCGACATTGCATTCCAAGCAGCCACTACCAATCAACTAGAAATCACATGTGCAAAGAATTTAGCATGCTATCACTGCTCTAGTCCATGATGGCGTGTGATACGTTTATATCCTTAACCATCTGAAAATCCTCACAAATAGTCTTGATAATAAGTATATACTGCAATTACAGAATTACAGATCTGAAAAAGACCTTAGAAATCATCAGCTTTAGTCCAAAATGCAAGATGAGCCTGGAGCAATCTTCTATGGCAAATGGGATGCTGAAGTCCATAGAGGGTAAGCAACTTGCCCTAATTCAGTGTCAGTTAATGCCATTAGCAGTCCCTTACATCTGTATAGTGCTTTAAGAGATGCCAGTGTACTCTCACCTGAACGATCTCATATGATTCTTCTTCATTCATCCAATAAATATTTATTGAATTCCTACTGTGTTCTGTGTGCTGTGCTGGAGATTAGGAAACCAGTAGATAGAAAGAAAAAAAAAAAGGAAAGAGAAAATCTTTGATTCCTTTCTTACGGTTAAGTAAGAAGCCTTAAAATAACTCCAAGACCTGAACAAGACAGACATTACTATCCTCAGCTTTGTAGATGCTAGAGGGTGACAATTAAGAGAGGATATGACGCACTTAAAAATGGCAGCTCTGGAATTCACAACATCCCTCGAGTCACCACTTTTAGATGAGATCATTACTGTTGCAACATGTGGGAAGCAAATTTCCAGACCCATCAGGCATTTCTTAATTAGCTCTCTGACCACTTTAGAATGCTTAAGGTATGAAAGAACCTTTCTATTTAGGCAATGATGGCAAATTCTCCCAGCCCTGTTGAAACAATTTCCAAGAGTCTTTCTCTGCCGACCTGTGACCCCTTGACCCTGTAGCTCATGTAGTGTGGTGGGAAGAGCACAGATATGGGAGCATGGTATCTTGCATCCTATTCCCACTGATGGCTCTAACCAACTAGTTCATCTTGGACAAGGTACATCACCTCTCTAGGCCTCAGTTTCCCCATCTATAAGGAAAGTGAGCTGAGCCATGAGATCTCTAATCTTCCTTCCCACTGACATCTGACTATTCTGCCTAACCAAAAAATACAGAGCTGCCTAGCCATACTTCACCTTCTCCTTTCACCAGACATTCTCTGCAACAGCTGGCTTTGCAGCCCAGACTCACCAAGAAAACAGCAACTCCTGGAAAGCTGGTATGGTCCTGCAAAGCCCAAAGTAGTTCTAATCATGATCCAGCTGATCATATGACCTGAGATAACCAGTTCAACCTTCACATGTCATGATCCAACAATGACATAATAAAAGGAGTAGCCAGATGTAGAAATGCTTTGGAAATATTAAGATGCGCCCTTCAAGAAGGAAAAAAAAAAAAAAAAAAAAAAGAAGTTGACCTCAGTAACTTTGGAAAATGATGGGGCTTTTTTCTTTTGTATTTCACTATCACAAATTTCACACACAATGGAAAATGACGTGTTTGACTGGAATCTATAAGGCTAAAGACAAAAAGAACTGGGCAAAACACTATAGTTGATAAAGTTATTTCTCAAAGGGGACTAGATTGGTGATTCTGAAACTACTTTACTTGTATACTAGGGTTGAACAAATATGTAAGTAAACAAGTTACTCACTGTCAGAGATAAAAGTGACAATGAGAAAAGGGGCAAGGCTAGAATAAAACCTGTGCAGTTGGATTACAAAGACAATACAAGCTCTTTTTAAAAGTATATGTACAGATAGACAGATACACAAACATAGATCTGACACATGCATGGGTTAGTATACATATATATATACATAAATATACGTAAATATTCCCAACTGCTCACTCACAGGGCCTAGAAGCAATGACACCCCAGTAGCAATGAGCATACCCAACACTCAGAAACGTGGTTTCTAAATATCATTCTCCGATCAAAGGAAGCAGGACTCCTTGGAGGAATAACTGATTCTAGGGCTAAAGCAGTGAAAACACAAGGTGAGCTTGGAGCACCTTGTAATGCCAGAAAGTAAGAAAATGGAAAAAAATGGGTGCCGCAAAACTATGTACATCATTATGTATCAATTTTTTTAAATGTGGGTGTGTCAAAAGGAACCAAGAGTTCCCAGTGAGCAAGGCTAGAACAATTTGAGCAACAAAATAATGAAAGTATTGGATGATATATAACCATCATGATTCTTTTTTTTTTTTTTTTTTTTTTGATAGAGACAGGGTTTCTCCATGTTGGTCAGGCTGGTCTCGAACTCTCAACCTCAGGTGATCTGCCCGCCTCAGCATCCCAAAGTGCAGGGATTACAGACATGAGCCACCGTGTCCAGCCAACCATCATGATTCTTATAACTCAAAGAATAAAATAAATATCCATGAGTCCATGCCAATATAAATAAATATATGAACTACAGAGAAATTTTCTTTTCTACAAATTTTCTTTTCTTTCTTCTTTTTATTTCCCCCCCTGAAATAGGGTCTTGCTCTGTTGCCCAGGCTGGTGTGCAGTGACACACTCATAGCTCACTGCAGCCTTGACCTCCCTGTCTCAAGCCATCCTCCCATTTCAGCCTCCCAAATAGCTGGGACTACAGGCGGGTGCCACTATGACCAGCTCAGGAATTTATTGTAGAGATGGAGTTTTGCCATGTTGCCCAGGCTGGTCTTGAACTCCTGGGCTCAAGTGACCCAACTGCCTTGGCCTCCCAAAGTGCTGGGATTATAGGCATGAGTCACCACGCCCCGCCTGAGACAAATTTTCTTTATAGATAAATTCCAAAATATATATGTCGATTCTCCCTTCTCCAGGAAGTAGAGTTTCATTTCCTTCCCTTTGAGTATGGGATAGATGTAGTGACTTACTTCTAATAAGTAGAATATACAAAGGGGAAAATAGTAACTTCACAGTGGAGAAACTTGGCAGAGCCCCCTTAACCATGCAATCAAACTTACTTTACCATTGATAAGTCATGTGGATATCATGTACCTCTTTATAGCATGCAAAGAAAAAAGGACTTTTCTTCTAAAAAAAATCTATAACCCTTGTCTAATTATGAGAAACCATTAGATAAACCCAAACATTCAATAAAATACCTGAAAGTGTCAAGGTCATAAAAAATAAGGAACAAAGAACTTTTCACAGGTGAGAGGAGAGTAAATGTAATGACAAGTAAATGTAAATGACAAGTAAATGTAATATGGTACCCTGGATCACATCCTGGAATAAAAAAACGCCATAGTGGAAAAACTAGAGAAATCCACAGTTAGCAGTTTAGTTATAGTATTGTACCAGTGTGAATTTCATAGCAAGGTAACTCAAGGAAATGTTACCCGTAAGAAAGGAGCACTATACCTGCATTTTTGCTTTTTTTTTTTTTTTTTTTGAGACAGTCTTTTCTTGTTCCCCAGGCTGGGGGGCAATGGCCCCATCTCAGGTTACTGCAACCTCCACCTCCCTGGTTCAAGCGATGATTACCCTGCCTCAGACTCCTGAATAGCTGTAATTACAGGTGTGCACCACCATGCCCAGCTAATTTTTGTATTTTTAGTAGAGATGGGGTTTCAACACATTGGCCATGCTGGTCTCAAACACCCAACCTCAGGTGATCTGCCTCGGCCTCCCCAGGTGCTGGGAGTACAGGCTTGAGCCACCACACCCAGTCTATACCTGCATTTTGAGGTAAGGCTGGAATTCTAGACCATCAACTACATGGTGCCTGTCCCACTGGCCAGGGACCAGATATGCCTCTGTTTGAATCAAATTCAAGGATAGGGGCCTGACTGAGCATGGATGGCCAGGAGGTTGGGGAGTGGGATGCTGTATGAGCCTTTCCAGGACTTCTCCTGATTTCTCAGTGGCATTAACAGACCTCCTCAGGAAATCACTTCTGTTGTGCCCCCTCAGTTCTTACCTCTGGGCAGAGTCATTCCATGAGTGAAAGGGGCCTGGTTTGTGATCAGAATCTATTGTCAGAGAGAAAGAAAGTCCCTTCTCCCACGCAAATGCCAAGCAAGGGGTGGTGCCAAATGATCCCAGGACCCTCATTTTCTGCAACAGTGATTGCTTTGTGTAAAGAGGGCAAGATGCCAGGGCAACTGCTGGGGAAACTGCCGGCTGCCCAGCCTTGCAAGGCTCCAAGCGTTTGGGGAATTTAAGACTTAGGCCAGTGGAAGAAAGAGAACTTCACCACGTGAACTCCACCATCTTCGGGGTACTCATCGGGGAAATAGTGGGGAGATGCTGCTCCTTCCTGTTTCGCAGACACAGCAGCAATACTTGTGGCATAAGAGCAAAACCCCTACAGAGGGGACAATTTTAAAGCTAAGTGTCCCTGGCATGAGTTACCAGGGTAGCCAAGCTTTGCAAAGACAGGGTTAATTCTTTTAATCTTAACTTTAGTGATTTGATTTTGAATAACATCTTTTTTTTTTTTTTTTGAGACAGAGTCTCACTCTATTGCCCAGGCTGGAGGGCAGTGGTGCAATCTCAGCTCACTGCAACCTCTGCCTACCGGTTCAAGCAATTCTCCTGCCTCAGCCTCCTGAGTAGCTGGTACTACAGGTGCCCACCACTATGCCTGGCTAATTTTTATATTTTTTTAGTAGAAACAGGGTTTCACCCTATTGACCAGGCTGGTCTTGAACTCCTGACCTCGAGTGATCTACCTGCCCCCCAAAGTGCTGGAATTACATGCATGAATCACCATGTTGATCAAAATCTTTTTTAAAACTTGTTACTCCCTCATCCATTAAACAGAGCTCACAAAATATAAATGAGCATTTCCTTGGTGGTTGAAGGTCATTATTGTGAGCATCAGTTATGCCGAGAGCTGCAAAGTGAAACCAGAGACTCAGAAGTGCATTCAGCGTTTGGGACTTTTTGCTGAATGGGTGGTGATCTCAGCAACAGCTCTGAAACTTGCTTTCTTGAAAGAATCCCTGACATCAGCTCGTTTTTCTACTTTAGAAAAGTGCAGCGCACGTTCCCTGGTCTTCACAAAAGGAAAACAGAAGGCTGGCCCCAGAAGCTGTGTGACCTTGGCCAAGTGATGTCATCTCTTAGTGGCTCTCATTCTTCATCCGTAGAATTGGAAATAACGTTATTAGATAGTGCATGTTTAGAACATGTCTTAGATGCATTAGAGCCGGGCTTGGAACAGCGATCAGCATGTCAGGAGGGCTCAGGGGGTTAACCGCTGTTATTACCATTTGCAGATGAAGACAAGTCCCAGGTCTGGTTAGCTCGGTCTGCCTCTTTCTCTGTCGTCTCACCAACATTGGCTCGCTGTCTGGGAAGCAACACCACCAGTGACCTCTTCTGTCGTGGCCATCAGCCATTGTACCCATTCTTTTTTTTTTTTTTTTTCATTGTACCTATTCTAATCAAGGAGGCTCACCTCCAATTTATGCCTTTTCTAGTCAGAAAGGACAGAATTTCCCTGGTTCAGGTCCTTGCCAGACCAGGGGCCTCTTGCAATCCCTGCCACGAAGTCCCGGAAGGAAGCTCTGCAAATGTGCACTCAAGGCTTCAAATCAGCAGATGGGCGGTTAAGTAACTGTGGAGTCAGGCGCGGAGGGGAACAGCGTCTCTAACCACGGCCACCCTGTTCTCCTCTGGGTTATTAGATCGGCACTTGGCAGAGATGGGACTAGAAGAAACTGGGAGGGCCTGGGCCTAGGTCTTCATGTAGAACTGTGGGTCCATGGCCCCTCGGGGTATCCAGGGCGCCGACCACCATGGCCCTATTGCCCTTTTCCCCCAAAGCCCCGGGGGAAGGTACTCTCTGGCCTGAAGTTCGCCTGTCCACCGGTGATACCACCTGCTGCAGCGTTTCTAGCTGGGAAGGAGTTGGACATGACCACATCTGCAACAGCTGCGCCCTGCACTGCCCGGGGCCGCCCCCATCCCTACCCCTGCCCTGGGGTCTCCAGAAGCCCCTCTGCAACCCGCCACAGATTTGCCAAAACTCAGGGACCCCCTTGCCTTACCTCCCCTCCTCCCTAGGTCACCCCCGCCCTCACCCCCCCAACACACACACACATTTCCTGCCCTGCCAAAAATAAAGCTGGAGGGTCCTGGGAGTGCGCTTGCCACCAGACCCTCCGGGGAGACTGCTGCATCGCTGTACCCCTCCAAAAAGGGGACCACCCCCTTCATTTCTGCTGCCTTCCTTCTCCTTTGCTTTAGTGGATGCCACCCTGGCTCTGCCAAGGCATGGGGTGGAGCCCTGCCCCTTTTCTGCCAAAGACACGTGGCCCTCCATCCTTATAAAAACAGTTATACATTCATATATACAGTACCTGTCCCTAACCTGCACCCACCAATAGAGCCACTCCCTGAGAGGGTGAGCAAGAGGCCACCTTGTTTGGGGGAGCCTCTTTCCTAGAAATCTGGAGGGGCAGAGGCAGTGCCCCTGACATCTGGCTGGCTGTAGGTGCTCAGTCGTTATTTATTTTTGCTCTCCTCTTCCTCTTTTTCTTCCTCAATATCAGCTCCTCTCTCTCCTTACATCTCCCTCTCTCTCTCTTCCCTGCTCCATCCCTTCTTCACCTTATCTCCTTTGGAGGACTGCCTCCTGCCTGCTGGAGCACTGAGTGGGGCTGAGGAAGATCTCCTGCACCCCACAACCCTTTCTCTTGGTGGCTAAACCTCTGACTCAGCCTCCTACACCGCAACCCTGCATGTCCCTGATTCACTCTGGCTCCTTCTCCACCCCATCATCCTGGCTTACGCAGTGTGGTCTTGTTGAAGGCATCGGATCTATACAGATGGCTTCTTGAAGCCCATTTATACAGGATTTCAGGATTTTCTGGCTTTACCAAACACCTCCCCAGAGTTTTTAAAACACCACCTGAAAAATTAGTGTTCATCTTGTTGCAGGTGACAATGATATTACAGTTGTATTTTTAAAGTCCTTATCTATTAGAGATACATTATTTGACATATTTCCAGGTGAAATGGTGTAGTGTCATGGATTTGCTTCAAGGTAATATGGGAGGGGAGTAAGTAGATGGGGCGTGGATAGGGAAGGAATGGCCTTGGGTCAATATTTCTTAGGACTAGGTAATGAGTAGATGAGAGTTCATTATACTCTTCTGTCTACTGTCTTCATAATGTAAAGTTAAATTAATTCCCTAGCCATCCAAAAAGGGAGAAATGAATTAGTGAACAAATATTGGCAAAATGTTAGCAATTATTGAATCTGGGTGATAAATACATATGGATTTGTTGTGTTATTTTCTCTACATTTTTATGTGTTTGAAAAAATGATTTAAAATAATTTTTAAATGTTTATTTATTTATTTATTTTTTTGACAATGCACAGAGCCTGTAATCCCAGCACTTTGGGAGGCCAAGGCAGGCGGATCACTTGAGGTCATTAGTTTGAGACCAGCCCTGGCCAACAGGGCAAAACCCAATCTCTACTAAAAATACAAAAATTAGCTGGGCATGATGGTGGGTGCCTATAATCCCAGCTACTTGGGAGGCTGAGGTGGAAGGATCACTTGAACCCGGGAGGCAGAGGTTGCAATGAGTGGAGATCACGCCACTGCACTCCAGCCTGGGTGACAGAGTAAGTCTGCACTTCAAAAAACAAAAACAAACAAAAATAAGAAAATAAAATGTTGAGTTTATTTTTATTTTATTTTATTTTATTTTATTTTTTTGAGAGGGAGTTTTGCTCTTGTTACCCAGGCTGGAGTGCAATGGCGCGATCTCGGCTCACTGCAACCTCCGCCTCCTGGGTTCAGACAATTCTCCTGCCTCAACCTCCTGAGTAGCTGGGACTACAGACACGCGCCACCATGCCCAGCTAATTTTCTGTAGTTTTAGTAGAGACGGGGTTTCACCATGTTGACCAGGATGGTCTCGATCTCTTGATCTTGTGATCCACCCGCCTCAGCCTCCCAAAGTGCTGGGATTACAGGCTTGAGCCACCGCGCCCGGCTTGAGTTTATTTTTTAATACCACCTTATCACGAACTGTTCATCTGTGTAAAGCTAGGCCGTGGGTATTCAGCATGCACTGCACAGATGTTGGTGGACAGGTGTTTCCTCAAAGATCTCAAGTGCATCTGCTGCCTCTTCCTTAGATGATCACACTGAAATGCTCCAGAAAACAGGACTTCTTTGGCTAGGCACTGCTGCTGTGGCATCTCCGTGCCTTTGCACCTGCTGTGCCTTCCACATAGACTGTCCTTCCCCAGTCTACCTGCCAAACTCTTACTCAGCTTCAGCCCTTCTTCTCCAAAGCTTTCTCTGACCCTCCAGGCCTTGCACCACCACTGAGCCCTGTACGTACTTCTGTGTTATACAGTTCACCTTGAACTCCAATTGTTTCTTGCATACCTAACCCCCTCGCTACATTAAACTTTTAACTACTCGGGAGCAGGGAATTTTTTTTTTTTTTTTTTTTTTTTTTTTTTTTAGGCAAGGTCTTGCTCTGTTGGCCAGACTGGAGCAGCACAGTGATGCAATTAGAGCTCGCTGCCACTTCAAACTCCTGGGATCAAGGGATCCTCTCGCTTCAGCTTCCTAAATAGCCACACGCACGTGCCACCACATCCAGCTAATTTTTTAAATTTTTTGTAGATATAGGGTCTCACCATCTTGCCCAGGCTGGTCCTGAACTCCTGGGCTCAAGCAGTCCTTCTGCCTTTGCCTCCCAAACTCCTGGGATTATAGGCATGAGCCACCACGCCTGGCCCAGGATAATTTTTCATTCAACTTTCCATCATCAGGACTTCAAGTAACACCTACGCGCTCATGACTCCTGAGTCAACATCACCAACCTCGTGCTCCCCAGCACCAGACTCATATCCAAATGCCTTCTGAACTTCTTCCCTTGGGTGTTTACGGACCCCTGAAATTTACTGTGTCCAAAACTGAATACATTGTCTTTCCCCTAAACTTAATCCTCCTGCCACGCCTGAGCAGGTAAACAGAGCCCTCCACTCAGTCGCTCAACCCACAAATCCAAGGCCTGCCCTTCACCCCTCTTCTCCTGCACTTCCGCTATTGCTTCCATTTCTACATAAGCCCTGAATCTTCCCACCTCCCTCATCCCTACAGCCCTTTCCCTGTTCAGAGCACCATCACCTCTCTCCTAATGACTGCAAAAGCTTCTTCACTGCTCTCCAATCTTGCCCCCTCCATCCCAAGTCTCCACATGAAAGCCTGATCTTTCTAAAATGCCAATATAACACTATCATATCCTAATAAAATTCTTCTATGTCACCCTAAAGTTCAGATTCTTCAACATTGAACACGGCTTATAAGGCTCCTTTGTGACTGACCTCAACTCACCTCACTCCCTATAATT